ACGACGCTCTTCCGATCTCCCCAAAACCCCAAAACCCCGTGAAGTAGATAACTATGGCATTAATGTGATATAATAATGTTTAAATATATTTGTGATTCATTAATATCAAACATTGACTTTGTTTTGATCTCTTCTCTTTATTATTCTTTGAAAATCGATAGAGTCCTTCCAGAAAACTACAATTACAATTACCTATAGTAAAATGAGCAAGTAATGATTGGATTACTCTGAAGAAAATTGAAAGGACTGAAACTGATAATGAAAACTTCCTAATTGATTTTTCGATACCTCCATCTTCAACTGAATCATCTCTCCCGTAGGAATTAGCTTAAATAGCAAGCCAAAACAAATCGTAAGCAAATGAGCAGATGAGTGCAATAACTAGATTTCTGAAAGTACCCTTCTTTATTTTATCTGTGTCTAGCATCATATAGATACCTACCAAGCAAATTGTAAGCTATTAAGGGATTAATGAACTATTAATTTACATTAAAGAAGTCTGGTCTGAAGTACATAGAAAATATTGTTAAAACTGAATATATTCCAAGTACTATTTCTGTTAATAAGAACCAAGGGACAGCTTCATAACCCATTCTCTTTGCTATTCCATGAGCAAAGACATCTACCTTTTTAGATAGCTTCTTTTCTTCTGCTTATATTCTAGCATTAGTGTTACCATCTCTTGCTTCAAGCTCAAGTTTATCGTGTTCAACATCAGAGTCCATTTCCATATCATCCCCCTCGAGTATTGCTTTAAACGGTGATCTATAATGCTTCAAATGCTCTTAAATGTTTGTCTTTTGAATCTATTCCTCTTCTAAAGTTTCTTTCACTCTCTAAAGAGCCTATTCAAAATACTTCTCCCTGCAGTAGATCCATTGTAATATGACATGCACACTTCCTGCCCCACTCTAGCTATTTCTTGCTGCATTATCCTATCCTTGATATTCTAAATCAAACCACTCATCATGCTTCAGCTAATCCTTTAAGAACTACAAGTTTATATCTGCTCTGCCGATTGTCTCATTAGTGCCAAAGGCATCCTTATTCACAACTAAGAGTTACAAGTCCTCCTAGCCATTTTAAATCTCAAAGGTAAACCTTTCATCCCACACTGGATTTTGTGGATTCTCACTAACTGGTCTCGTTTCTATCTTCTAATTCTCAATTGCTAATATCACATATGGCTCAGTCTATGATCCATCTATATCGTAGAATGAAAAAAACTTTCTATTTGTTTAAATATTTACCTTCCATATCTAAAGTTCTTAAATCCTCGGCTTATAATACATGAACTGTGAGAACACTATTCTCCATGATGCCATATCTATTCAGCTTCTCTGTTTGCTTTAGAAATAAATTAATACACGATATATTTACCTTTGATTCGTCATATCTAGCTTAGAATTCATCGATTTACCTTCTTCTCTCAGCTAACTGCTTGATTATTTCATTCAATCGATCCTTCAATTTGATTTCGCCATCAATGTAGCAGTTGATAAACTCATCTAAACTCACTGATCCATCTCTATTTTTATCCATCTTTTGAAAAAGTATCTTAGCGATGTTCCTATCAAAAGGCTTTCCTCCTGCCTATATAAATATTTTAAGTTAATTCCATTTGAAACGAAGTCATTAATACCTTAAGATCAAGGAACTACAAGAGCTCTTTCTCTGTTAAACTTTAATCTTTATTCAGATCAGCCTGCTAGAATTCTTCTGTTAGTAGTTTCTTCTTAAGTTCCTGTTCCTTCTTCACATAGGCATCTGATGGCCTATATTCGTAGCTCTGATCTCCATTTTCCTGGCGATCGTCATAGTAGTTGTTGTTATTGTTGATATTCTACTATTGTCGATAATTATTCATCTTCAATTTAAATTATTTAAGTTTATTTTAAATTTTAATTATTAAGCTAAATTAAGACTCAATAATCAACATTACTCTATTATCATTCATAAATGACTCTATTATCAACTAAAAACTACCAAACTTTAATTTGAAAGTAGATAGCCGATGGGGGTTTGAGGAATTATTTAAAATCTCACATTCTACCAGTGACTCCTGATCCCTTAGGATTGTAGTCTTTCCAGTTATCCATTGATGAGACCTTCAAACGTTCTCTTTCAAGGACTGCTTCGCTGTCTGGATCTTCGTTATCCTTGATTTCTTGATTCATCTCATCTCTTCTTTACCTCTCTAAGGCATCAGCTACCTCCATATCAGCAAGTTCCTCAATTGACATTGTTGGAAGAATATGACCTGGCTTGAATACTTAGTTCTAATACTATCCTCTTAGATTCATTTATTGCTCGACTATATCCTTCTACACATAAATCTTCTAGAATTAATCTGGGTTAGATTGATCTGCGCTAATTGAGCCATCTGCTCTCTGACTTAGTAGGTATGGACTATCTTCCTATTTCTAAAAGCAATATAAAATGAGGGATCGAACTTACTGGAATGTGCACTACTTTCATTGGTTTATATACGAAGCCTGTCTTATCAGCTGGTAAAGGCTATCCTGTCACCGAATCCCTTGGAAGCGTCTATTGATATTCTAATAGTTTAACTTCTTAGTTTATAAGGCTAAGTTGATCTAATGACTTGACGATGGAGTACTTGAGGGAGTTCATATAGAATTCTCTTTTCATGTCTTCATCTCTGTAGTTTTTAAGCAAATCAAGTTAAGCTTCCAAATCCTTCTTTCTCTTCATAGCTGCTATTTTGGCATTCCTGTTTGCGAAATGATCAAAGTTTGCAGGTCCATACATCTAAGGAGCATTTCTAGTTGCTAAATCAGTACCTGGCTATTCTTCTCCTTCTGATTGCTTCATCATGAGCTTCCATTAGTCTTTCTATTCCTTTTCTAGCATCCCATAATGATTCATGAGTTTAAGATATTCAAGATAAAAGGTTTATGATAGCTAAACTCTTCCTATCCTGTTATCCATAATCCTATTTAATACATCAGCTTCATAATAAGGCGTCAAAAGTAGTCTATATAAAAGTAAATTAGAACTATATAGCGGTATTATAGTAATCATACCTTAAATTATCAGTCTCAATCTCCTTGATCCCCTCATTATCTGAAAATAGATGCTCTCTTTGAATTCTAACCACTAACTGTCTCAGCTTTTCAAGAGTATCAATGTAGGATTCATCATTACAGTTTATGAAATTCTCATAACCCAAACAGGCCTTTTCGAGCTCATGGAACTCGTCAACTAATGTCTTGTTGTTTTCCATTATATATTAATTCGCGTTAATTTAAAAGTTTATAAATTAGAGAATTCTATCAGGCCAACTATAATTCCTTTTTCATCATACTCTGATAAATTTCGATGGGGTTTTGGGGTTTTGGGGTTTTGGGG